TGTACCCGCTGATACCCCAGCGGGGATCAGAGAGAGATCGAGCGCTAAAAATGAGCAGTAATAATCGTTTACAGGTTCAAATAACTGTCCGAGGAATTTGCCCCCAAACCGAGGAGAGGCATAAGTCTTACATGAGAATTGCACCGTCCTAAAGTTTAAACGATATGTCACATATTTTAACCTCACATATTTAAATAAATTATAAAAAAGAAGCCAAAGGAGTTATGGTTATTTTTATGTGGCCTCACTGGTCAGAGCTTTTTCCCAACCGAAAGAAACTCCTCATTCAGATTTCGGCAGAGTTCACTTGGGTGCAGGGAAAACAAACTCCAGTCTCATGAAGTAAACACGTGTTTCCACGCGTGTAAGGGGCCGTAACAAAAGCCAGTGCTCCACCTAGCTGGGAAGGACTGTAAATCGATTTCTGAGAGTGTTGAAAGACATCGGGGGTTTTGGGGATGTTTCCACCTACTTAGCCCAGGTGAGCGATGGCTCCAGAAAGGAGCAGTACTGGGAAGCTCGCAGGGGAGTCTCTTGTTGCTGCCATCAGTCCTGTTCAGTGCACAGAGCAGTGTTACTTCTGAACTCCACCGTGATGCTCTTTGCCTTTTGGAGAAACGGGGGAATGTTGTGCAGCGTTCTGCCAGGCAGGAGCCTTGTGGTTTGAGCAGAGACTGAGGTTAAGCAGCTTTCGACCCTTGTGGGTTTACTTGCTTCTGGTATTGAGCAAGGTGCTTTTAGTGAGAATAAGTAATGATAAATGTAGGATTCCCTATGCTTTTTATGACATAGTTGACTTTTGTTTCTGTGTCTTTTGTGAACTGTATTTCAGATGTAGGGAGGAAAATGCAACAAATACGTTTGGGCAGTTCATAAGAAAGAAAAGGAATTATAAACTGGGTATTCCACTGGGGTTTTTAGTGTTTGTTTTTCAGCTGGTGTTATAAGAAAGGCAGGTCTTAAAGCTGGTAAAGCCTTGTGCTTTTAGATGATGCATTGCTCTATAGGGAACTAAGTAATCATCTTTTTGTAGTAACTTTTATGCTGTACCTGGAGAAATCCTTCAATTTTTACATATGAATGTTTGTTTTATTTTAGGGTATGCTATGACTGGCTTCAGACTCCCCATCACTACTTTTAGAAAACTAAATGCCTGGTTTGGACTGTGGGAGAAATTCCCTTCTAATAAACTGTATCTCTCTTGGAGGAGAAGCGTATTCTGTAGCTGTCAAGCAACCACAATAAACTACAGAAGGTATTTCTGCTTTTCCCCAGTAAAACTCTGTGCGCTAAGACTTTCTCCAGAGTATATCTCAGTACTTTCTCTGCGGAACAAAAGTAACAAAAGCTCTAAAAGGAGCACACAGACTGCACAAGAAGAAGAAGAAGAGGATGAAGATGAAAAGGAAGGCGATTTGGAAGATGAATTTGAAGATGACCCCAACATAGTAAAAGATTACAAGGATCTTGAAAAAGTAGTGCAGTCTCTTCGATACGATGTGATCATGAAAGCTGGTCTAGACGTTGCAAGAAAGTAAGTACAGAAGAAACAACCTGCTGATGAGAAAGATGCCATGCATCTAAAATTTGAGTTTGATACCCTTTTATTGCTGGAATAACTCAGTATTTGAGGGGGTTTTTTTGATGTAGCTGTTTTGACTGCCTAAAAATATATTTTGGATGTATGGTTGTTCTTGTTTGTTCCACCTTACCTCCCTTGAAACAGCCTGTTTTCTGCTTTTTGCTCTCTGCAGTATTTCTAAGATGGCTGAGGAGGCATTTTCTATCAGTTACTATTTATTTAAAATGAAGAAGATGCAAAATACTGTACTAAGTAATACAATAAGATGTAATTTGAGATTGAGGGACTAAAATAATATGCTACTTAATGACTGTAGAAATAGGTGATGGTAAGTATAAACCTAACATGCTAGGTCAACCAGGTAAATGTGCAGTGTATAAATATATCACAGTGATCTGATGCAACCTGCAGAAGCCTTATATTGCAGTGTTGTTAGAACAGAATATGAGTATAACCTGATCACTTAATAATTATTAAACTGGCTGGTACAGGAGAGGGGACATTATTCATTGGATATTCAGGGGAAAGGTCTTTAGAAACAGCTTTTTATTGCTTGCACCTGTGGCACACAGCAATTATACTTTATTATTTCATTTAATATCTTTGAAAGACTTTCTCTTTACTTCCAGTCTGTCCTGACTTTAAATAAAGGTATCCTTTATGCACAAATCAGAGGAGTTGTGGAAATGTGCCTTGCACATGAGTGGTGTTCTTGTGTATCTGCAGAGAAACAATTGCATTTGGTCTGCTGCACACTGTCAATGCAATAAAACCTTGTTTTTCTTCAGTAAAGTAGAAGATGCATTCTACAATAATGAACTCAGGCTGAATGGAGAAAAACTGTGGAAGAAAAGTAGAACTGTAAGACTTTTTAAAATTTACATCTTTTAATACAGTACAAGAAAATAACTAAGGCATGACCTCTTCTTCTCCCTGCTTTTACTTGGGTCAGAAGAGCTAACCACTAAATCGCTCTGCAAAGGTGAATGAATATCATTGCTAACACCACTTCGTTTTGTGTGTGTGTGTGTGTGACTCTGATTCCCCGGGTAAGATGTTACTCCCTAAGGCAGGCAGGAGACTTGTGGTATTAGAGAGTTAAATCTAAGGCTGAAAGGCAGAAGGTAGCAAGGACAGAACTTATTAAGTTGCTGAAGGAAGCGATGATAGATGTGAGGTTGATGGAGTAGGAATGATTAAATCTGAGATATTGGTGGAGCAGGCACATAATTAAAGAGAAAGTTTGATGATAGGGATTGAAACTGGGGTAGGTCAGGAAAGGTTATTGTATCTGTAATAGAGCACACAGGAAGACAGTTAGGGGAAGAGCCAGAAGGGTTGCAGGCCGTACTCTTCCACAGCAGAGCTCACCAGAATGGTGACAAACATACTTCTACCCACCCTTTATGTGAGGGTGATCTTAGGTGGTGGTTGCTGTCATCAAAGGGCAATAAGAAGAGAAGTTTTAGTTCCAGATACCCTGAAGTTAAGGCTAGTTTTTGAGAAGCATACTGCTTTTAGGACTTTTGAAAGGAACACAAGCATTTGAGCAGCACTCTATTTTTTAAAGCACTTTAAACTGTTTTAAAGGAAGGAGGGAGAACATTGCATTTTGCTGTTTTGTGTTTGTGTAGATACAAAAAGATGGGCAGCAAATGCCCTTCAGGAAAAACCCATAGTACATTACACCTTTTACACAGAGCTAAGTGTCAGCTGTAGAACAGGAAGGGCAAAGCTCTTGGCAGAGAAGGTCATGAGACATTTAATTGCTTATTGCCAGGGCTTTCCTAGAAGTACATAGCTGGGGGATCTGTAACGGGTCTAGTATTGCCTTCTTTCCTCCTCTCCTGTGAGGTGAGAAGAGTAAACGGAAAGAAAGCAACAAAAATTATGATTGGACATAGGCTGTGGGGATTTGTTTTTCCCAGGGAATGTTCATAATCATTCATCTTCTCTTTCTGTTTCTTTCAGGTGAAAATTGGTGACACGCTGGATCTCATAGTAGGTGAAGATAAAGAAACAGGAACTGCTGTAGTTATGCGGGTAGTCTTAAAAAAAGTGTCTAACAAAACTGAAAGTGAAAAATACAGAGTAATTTTGAGGCGTTGGAAAAACCTAAAAGTGCCGAAACAAGATGTACTGAAGTGACAGGGGGTTGTGTGTGGCAGCATAAGATTTTTGCAGAAAACTGTATTTGTTGTTAAATACGAATTTTGGTTAAACAAAATTACAGTACCCTTTTTTAAGGGTTTGTGTTAGAATGTTATCTCCCTCTGCTGTGTACATCAATGTCCATGCAATAAGCCTGTCACTTTTTGCTCTTAGCTTCATTTCATGGTACTGTGGGGTAAAAGATCCAACCCTTACATTTCCAGGTAGTTTCCTTACAGATGTTATATATAATGAACCAATAAAGACTAATTTGATCACTGTTTAATTGCCGTCTAGTTTTGTTAATCAGAAAGATTACATTAAAACTGACATCGCAACAAGCAGAACTGCTTTCTTCGTTTTATCTCTAGGTTCATGAAATAGGGATAAAAACCCCAATTATGTAAAATTGCTTCCTTTTTCATTATTGGTTTGACCCTGGTTAACAGTACCAACTCCGTGCTTATATACGCTGCTGCTGTACCAGGAACACAAAGGGATACCGATTGCAGCTGCGTATTTCTATGCAGGAGACTTCACGGTGACGGGAATGAATCGTGGCAGAGATACTCTGACCTCACAGAGAAGGAAGATCAGTGAGGTACTGCTGATTTTTACTGTTCAAGTAACTGTGCAGAGGAAAATGAAATCTCAGTTTGTCACGTATTTGTATCAGGATGGCATTTAAGAGGATAAATATTTAGGTGGTGTAAAGATCTGAGTGGGAAAATACTGTCACTTAGGACAGGCATCTCAGGAGTCACCCGTCACACTTGTAATGTTGAACGCAAGCTTCTCCCAACACAAGCAATGTGTTGGATGAACTGTGGTGCAGACAGAATTTTTATGTTCTGTTAATTTTCAAGCAACACTTCCTCCAAGTTAAAGATTGTTGTATCCCTAAGAGTAAGAAATCTAGCAAAGGAGGCGGAAGGCCTTCATGGATGAGCAAGGAACTTCTGGAAAAGCTCAGTCAGAAGAAGGAAGTCTACAAAATGTGGAAAAAGGGACTGGCCACTAGGGTGGAATATAGGGACATTGTCAGAGTATGCAGGGATGCAACAAGGAAGGCCAAGGCCTGCTTGGAATTAAATCTAGCAAGGGATGTCAAGGACAATAAGAAGGGCTTCTTCAAGTACCTCAGCAGCAAAAGGAAGACCAGGGAATATGTGGGGCTACTGCTGAATGACGCGAGTGCCCTGGTGATGGAGGATGCAGAGAAGGCGGAGATACTGAACATCTTCTTTGCCTCAGTCTTTACTGATGGCCCTCAGGAGTCCCAGGCCCTGAAGGTAGGAGAAGAAGTCTAGAGAGAGGAAGATTTTCCCTTGGTCGA